ACACGTCATGGTGTAAATCTGAAGTTTATCAATATTGATAATTTATTCAGTTGGCATAATTGGTTTACTCATATCAATTTAAGTATGATGTGCAAAAATAAAAGAGAATTCACATGGGTAAATATTAAAGAACTAGAAAGTTCTTTAAGAATTCTCTTATGTTGCCTTTTCTCATTAATTAATATACCAACTAAAATTGGGATTGAATCCCATGAATGCTGAAAATATCAAAGGTGAATATGGGCCCATTCACCTGCCATGTATACCACATAAGATGCATCTATGAGATGGTTACATGTGCGATTATTATTAACCAGCAACCTGGCCGATATTTGCGAGGTAACTTGCTCAGTAATTTAATTTCGAGCATAATTTTCAGATTTTCTATTCAAGAAGTTCATCTTGATAAGTTGGTTTACATCACAGTTGGTTTAGCAAAATAATTTATTAAGTGCCTCCACTTAATAGCTAAACTATTGCTAATGAGAACAAAGTTATCTATATCGGTTTGATATAGGTTATATACGAAAGTATATTACATTCTTTCCTCACAAGTGGTTCAGGGTCAGGAACCAAATAATTTTATCTTATTATTATTGATGTGCGGTGTATATTTTTCTTAACACCATAACGCACAAAGATGGTTCTCAAAGTTGAGGAAACAAGTTAGTTTTTCTAACATGAGGGGAGACATGATAAATAGTTGACAAAAAGTTACGTGGAATGAATTATCATTTGTACATCTAGATCATCGAATAAGGTAATATGAACTTGAAGTTCATAAAAGGATAATTCATTTGCAATATATTGCAAAGCATGCCAGACGCATTTGCTGGCCCAAAGAAAGTAACTATATTCTTATTGCAAATGCTCCTATTAAGTCCTAGAAGGACAAAGTCTATGGTACGGTTAAAGCGTATAGACAAATCAGTTTCAAATAAATTTCTTGATTAAGAAGATGAGCAAATGATTAAAATGATCATAATAAAGGAGGCAAGTGATCTAGAAGATCACATGACATAACACTTCATAAAATCTCATGAGAGATTCAGGTACCTGAAAATATAAATGAAGAGATCTCTATGTTATGTCTTTATGAAAAATAAGGAGGTTGGAACCGATATAAAATGTCCTTCGACAACATCTATGATAGCGCTAAATATATATGAGCATCTTAAGTCTAGAGAAACAATTCAAGTAGAATTGGTTTCATATGAAAGACATGTTGTTTTGGACCTGCAGTTCAAACACTTGAAAGTATAAAGTCAATGGTATGTGCAATCAGTTTTAGCATGACATGAAAACTTGATATGCATCTAAAGTCTATTATATGGATTATATGACTTAACTTATATGACAACCCATGAAGGATTTAAGTTGCTTGAAGCATATACAATTCTTGATCTTGAAGTACCACTTCCTCAGTCCAATTTGTGCACAAATGTATCTTGCTATTACTATAAGCATGATAATATGAAAAGCGAGAATTTTCAAGGTATAACATATTCATTGGAGTTAATATGGCTGATTTATTCACTAAATCTCTCCCGACGTCGACCTTCAAGAAGCAAGTGCACAAGATTGGGATGCGAATGCTCAAAAATGTGAATTGATGCTCTCATCAGGGGGAGTTAATACGCGTTGTACTCTTTTTCCCTTTCAAGATTTTTTCCCACTGAGTTTTCCTTGCAAGGTTTTTAACGAGGCAACTAAAAGGCGTATTGTTAGATATGTGTACTCTTTTTCCTTCTCTAGAATTATTTTTCCCACTGAGTTTTATTTTAGTTAAGGTTTTAACGAGGCACCTTATCTGTTGAATAGACATTCAAGGGAGAGTGTTATAAATAGAATTGTATTTATGGTGAATGTCTATACTTAGAGAGATTCTAGGATTCATTGCTTGGTGGCTAAGTCACCCTCTCCCTATAAATAGAGGGTCTATTCTATTGTAATTCACTCCAAAATCAATAAGAATTCTCTCTCTCTACTTTGCTCTGCAATACTCTTCTTCTTGTTTTATTGTTTCATAACAAAAATAATATTGAGGTTGTTACAATTTGTGAGAAAATTGTGAAGTTGGTGAATTGAAGTCTTCAAGTCTTCAACGATAATCAATTTTCAACAAGTTGTTCGTCAATTCGGTAAACTCGTTCCAACTCTTAAGTCTTAATATTATAATTTTGTTTATTTTATTTATTTGCCATTACTTGATTAATTAAGATGTCTTCCTTAAGAAATATTTTTGGTAAAATAAGAATAAGAAAAAATTCAAGACTAGCGAATCTAGTGGTACTGTTGTTCCTCCTCCCCTGCCCCCGGCTCCTCGAACTAAACCCCATATCCGTCCTACACCTACTATTCTTGATATTGATAATAGTTTATTATAATTTACCAAGAGTCAATTTTGCCATAGCATTACATCCGGTGAACATTTAGATCATGAATTAATGAATGCTCTCTATTCTAATAACTATAATACTACTGATGAAAATGATGGTGAGGAAATTTATCTTGATGAAACTCAACCAGATAATGATACACCCACTAGTCCTGCTCCTGATGTTAACCAAACTAGTGATAATGCTACTAATTCAAATGATGACCCATCTGATACTCATGTTTATAATAGTTTAGCACTTGAAGATGATGAGCTGCCTAAACTTCCGGAAGCAATAGCCTCAATTAGAATAAATGCTCAAACTATTTACAATGCCTATCAAGTTGCATTAAATCATGCTAGACCAAATGTTCCAACTCCTTCTTCTTCTGATTCTCAATCTCCTAAAAGAACTGCGGGAGTAAGAGCACTTAGTGCTTGGGCGGAGTTTAGGGGTTCTTTTGGTTCTAGTAGTAATGACTTTTCACAACAAAATGAGCTTGAAGTTTATTTCTCGCAGGAAATTGAGGAAGTGAATCCCGACGGCTCTTTTAATATTTTGCAATGGTGGAAGGACAAAGAAAACTACTTCCGGTTCTTTCAAGGATGACCCGAGATATTTTAACTATTCAAGCTTCAACAATGGCATCAGAGAGCGCTTTCAGTCAAGCAAGACTTCAAATCGTTGATTATAGAGCGTCTATGAGGGAGAGCATGGAAAAATCAGTACTTTTCAGAGATTGGATCCGTTCGGAAAGAAAAAATTTTTGACCTACTAAATCACAACCAGAGGAAGACGAAGCTTACGAAGAAATGCTAGCTGAACTTGCTGAGGATGCTGCTTCGCCCGACAATGGAAGCGGCAATGACCAAGCTATTTTTCCGCCACCACCAACGGAAATTCCTCCGAACCTTGAAGGATGTAACTTGTATGAACAAAAATTAGTATGTATTATGTAACTTGTATTTTGGCACATCTTGATTAGTTCCTTTTTCTTCTCAATTTTGGTATTACAATATTTTTATCTTTAAATTTGAATTAAAAAATTATTTCACAATTCTATAATAAATTTACAAGGCATTCCCTTAGATATTCTTTTTAACATCTTTTTGTCTCTAATTTCTATTTAATTTTTTTTTAAAAATCACTATTTAGTCGTTGGGCCCACTTAGCCCACTTAACCCTCAGGCCCGGACCGTTAGCCTGGGACCATGAGTTCATGGGCCCGGTCCGGGGCCGGTTCCTATAAAAAAAACTGTTTAGCTCGGGACCGCTAAGCCCGTTTATTTAAGGACCGGGACCGGCCTGGGACCGCGGCCCACTTGCCATCCCTAGTTTAATATGAGGCCTAAATTTTTAAACGAAAGTTAAAAGATATGTTTTTATTTGAAGTTTATTCTCCTAATTTTTGAAATATAAAGTTGTTAATAATTTTTTTTATAATCGATTTTCTTTAACAATTCTTGCTCGATTGATAATATGACCAACTTATATAATTTTTCTAGTGATATTATTGATCTTAAATAAGATTTTACAAAGAAATAGAAGTATAGGACTATTTGAAGGTTTAAGTATTGCTGAACACTTGAGCTAGTGAAATCTTGGAGAAAGAAGGTGATTAAAGAAATATTGGAGAAAGAAATGAGTAAGAATATCAAAGAGAAACACAAAAAATATGTAAGGTTTTCTGAAATGTGAAGAGATTGAAAAAACAATTGACTTGGACAAATTAAGGAAGAGAGAGCAAATTCTTTAATGAAGGATTAAAAAATTCAAAAAGTAAAAGTTATGAAAACTATTCATCTACCCATTTATAAGTAAGTCAAATTATTATTTTATTTATATATCTAAAAAGTTTTTTTTTCTTTATATTAAAAACTCTAATTTTGTATTAAAAATACTAAATATTATTTTTAAAATGCCTATGAACCTATTATTTTTAAAAAAGTAAGGCCCCCTAAACCTAGGGGCCCAAGGCACAAGCCTTACTCCACGTAAGGTTGGCCCCGTCATATACAGGGAGAAATTCAAAAATAGTCAGATTTACAAGAGGTCATTCAAAATAGCCCAGTTTCAAAAGTAATTGAAATTTAGCCTCTTTTCATGTAAAGATAAATCTGAGCGAAAACACAGTTCAAAACCCGAAAAATACGCCAGGATATTATACTGGAGTTTCAGGATAGGTATGCTGGAACTCCAGCATAATATGATGGAGTTCCAGCATAAGTACACTAGAACTCCAGCATAATATACTGGAGTTCCAACAAGTATACCGGTCCAGTATAATATGCTGGAAGTTCATACACAAATGCTCGAATCTCCAGTATATTATGCTAGAACTTTCCGTGTGTTGGAGTTCCAGCATAATATGCTGGAAGTTCATACACAGGTGCACCGAACTCCAGTATATTATGCTGGACCGGTCCCTGTTGCAGCAAAATCGTAGCTATTTTTCATTGACTTGGTAAACGCTGGCTATTTTTGAATGACCAGTCCGAAAACTGGCTAGACCGTGCTATTTTTACTCATATACATTACTAATCTTTTAACTTTTAAAGATATGTCTAATTTTGTACAGTTTCTACTCTATAGGAAGTTTTAACATGTCGAAACAGGGTCAAACATTGAATCTTCACATATCATTCAAGAATTTCAGTGCTTTGAAGAGTAAAAAAAAACTTAGCAGACAATACTATCTCAACAATTCACCAAACTTAATGAATAAAGACAATACTTCAGTAGCACAGTTACAAAGAAGGAAATACTCATTTACTCTTTATATTATACTATTTTGTTGCACATGTACACAAAGCTTCTGTATTATATACTCTTTCTTGAACGTGTTACCCATCTACAGCTCCAGCACCAAATCTGAATTTTCAAAATAAGGAAAGAGTGAGCTAATAATACATAACTGTCTTTAACAACAGAAGAGATAATTGAGTGTAATGCCGTTTTACTTACAGTCACTATCTGTCTTAATCCAGTGCTCTCTGTTTACTGTTAAGGCATTCAGTTCCTTCTTTGGAGCGGCAGCAGGAGAATTTTTTTTGTTCACTTCACTATTTGCTCCCAGATTATTAGTCTTGCATGAAATATTGCTTGTCTCATTATCTTGTGGTATGTTCTCATTCATTAATCCCTCAGGATGAACTTTCCTTTTGAACATTTTAAGGACCTGCACATATACAGTAGATGAAAATCACAGTTTGGTATAAACTCATATGCTTAACATCAGAGGCGGATCCAGCATTTAAACTCTATAGGTTCAACTTTTAAAAATTTTAACATTGAATTATATTTTTAAAGTTATTGGTTCATATCCATTTTTTTTCTTTTGCAATTTTAATAAATTTTACATATAAATTTCTACTCCGTATCGAAAGTTATGGATTCAATTGAACCCGTATCTATCACGTTGCATCCGTCGCTGCTTAACATAATAGAAGGCTATAAATATATACTTTATCGTCCATAAAATAAGGCTATTAGAGAATCCACATGACATGTGACTCAAGTAGTGCATATGATTGGTTTCAAGTTTTAACTATATGAGACGTCCAGCTTATTTGTCCTTTTTGATTATAAAAGAGCAAGCAACAAGCCAACAACAACAACCCTGTATAATTTTACAAGTGGGGTCTGGCCGTCTGGGAGGGTAGTGTGTACGCAGACCTTACCCCTATTCCGGAGGAGTAGAAAGGCTGTTTCCGATAGACCCTCAGGCTCAAGATTATAAAAGAGCAAGCCTTTCCGATTAACATAATTTTGAAGAGTAATTTTTTTTATAGCTCTGACCTTAAAATCAGTACTAACCTGAGGGAGTTTTCTCTTGCTTGAAACAGATCCATTGACATTTCCTTTAGAATGTTCTGTAGTAGAGCCCTTTGATTTGCACTGCAGGTTCTGCAGCATCTTCTTCATGAAATCCACGGCATGTTTTCTCTTGGCTTGTTTTTTCACTTTTCCATCATGATTTCCCACATGACCTTCTTGGACTATGTTTTTCGGCGTAAAAAGCTCTTCTATGAATCCTTTTTGTTGTTGTACCTGTTGCAAAAATAATTAAGTAAATAAAAGTGTGTACTTTCTAACCGTTTGCTTTTAGATAGCCAATTCAAGCATTACCTCTGCTTCTATCTCCGGCAATTCAATTGAAGAGCCTAAGAGATATTTCTGAAGAGGGTATTCTTCCATATTTCTATAGCATTCAGTAGCTCCTGTTTCAATGTGATTTTCACTGAGGGTAATGATGCTTTCTGATGATTCATAAGCAACTTTATTCACTTTCTCTTCAAGATACTTCTCAAGCTCATCATTTATGAATTTCAGTTCTTTCTCTGTTATGTCTGTTTCACCATGATCAAACGGCATTGGAAAAGTTGGAGTTGGAGGATCAGTATTAGTTGTCTGATAATTTCCCAGAGTTCCAATTGCCAAAAAGCCAGGAAAGAGTTCATCAAATGGTTCCATTTCTGCTCCATTGCTTTTAACTTCCTTGTAAACTGAGAAAGATGTAATGGAATTTTCTGAAAGTGCAGATCATAACAAAGGAGACTTGTTTATCAGTTTTTGTGTGGAAATGAAAACTATGGGTGTCAAGGGGCCGGCCGGGCTAGAGTAAAAGGAGACCGGCCGGTCTCCATGCTGGTCCGGTTACCGGTTTCAAAATATGGGTCTTACTTGGTCTGAATCTTGCCGGTCAAAATTTGAACCGAAACGGTTCGGGCTTAAGGGGTTATTCTTGCAAATTAGCAGTTGGGCAACGGTCAAAATGGCAGCTTACCGTTGCCAACGGTCAAGATTATAAATAAATAAATAAAGAAAGAAAGAAAATTGAACTAGCCGTTGAACTGGTCCTGACGGGTCTGGTTAACCGGTTTACAAATGACAAGATTTTACCAAGTTGTACCGGCCCGGTTAACCGGTGTAAAATTTTCCCCGGCACAGGCCGTTCCCGTCCTAACCCAGCTTTGCCCGGCCCCCTTACCACCGGTCCAGTCCGGTCTACAGGGCCGGCCCAAGGTTAAAGCTGCTAAAGCAGCTCCTTTGGGCCTCATAATTTTTGGGGCCCCAAATTTTCCTAATACGTTATATATTAATTTATTTTAGAAGAATATTTAGTGTTTTAAATGAGAAGTTACAGATTTTCATTGTAAAAAAGTAAGATTAGATTATTGATAATAAATTGAGATTTTTTTTATATATTGGGAATTATTTTCTAGACCATAAATTGAGAAAGAATTCGATTATTATTCGTAATTCAAAAAAAAGGTTGAAACTTTAATACAATCCCACAACGTGCCATTGATAAAATTTTAGCAAATAATAAAAACCTTAATTAGAAGGTATATTTCAAGGGAAATTAAATGGATTAGATAAAATTATTAATAACTTTGCATAAGAAAAGCTAGAAATATAGAATTTAAATGAAATTACATATGAACTTTTTTCTTTTATATATAAAAAAATAAGGTCTCACTGAAAGGTCTAAAGCCCGTCAGGGCTAGTCCGGAACCGAGCCAGCCCAGCCCAGCCTGTTTGACACCTTTAAATTGAAAATAGAAAACAGAGCATAGCAGAGGAAATTGAGAAGAGCTGAAATATAGAGAGGTGTAAAATTACCTGCTATGATAGTATTATTTGCTGGCTCATTGCCTTTTTGCTTTAGTTTAGAGTGCATCCAACCTAGTAACTGCAAGAAGATGAAATTAGAAGGTTACTATATGAGTCTCCACATATAGAAAATAATATTTGAACTCACTTTCATGTTGAACTATCCGGAGAGATTTTAATCAAAGCAGTTCAGTTATCAGAAAATAGATTTTTTTGGAGAAATTTGTACGTGTAAAAGAAGGGTTTAATACTGATGAAAGATGGTATTGGACTAAGAAATCAAAAACATAATGGACTACTTATCTTTCCTGAATAGGAAGCTGGATCAGAAGAAGGGTTTCAGGTAGGCTGAAAAGAGAAAGTACATAGAGAAAATTACAAAGGACAATGGTTGGCATTTTTTGTCAAGATTGTAGTGAGTAGAACAAGTTGAGAAGTTGGGGTTGAGACCCACAGGTTGGAGATGTTACATTGTGACATGGGGCACACGTGTATGCAAGTTTGCAATTGATGCTTTTACCTGGACTCTCAATACAATGTCTCAACTTTTGTTCTGGTATCTGATAATGTTAGACTGTTAGTATGAGGATAAACGAGTATAATCCATTGACTGACACTGTATGTTAATTGGACTACTTTGATATGTAGGAAACAGGGGCGGAGCCGGGATTTCGGCTACAGATTCGGCGAACCCAATAGCTTTGGTTCAAACTCTATATTTGTCTTGAAAAATCCATTAATTAGTTATAAATCAATAATTTAGAACCCAGTCGCTTAAAAGGCTTTGAAAACTGAACCATAAGTCTGATAGGAAATGCTAAGAAAACTCTTACTTTAGTTTTTTGGGTTTGTAAACTGATTAATCTATCTCGAAACTCCCGGGGCCTGGGAGAGGGGCGCTCTAGCCTATCGAGTGATGGAAACTAACTAACCCTAATGAATTGGCTTCTCAATTTGTGTAAGTATTCAATACCTGATTTCAAGTGATCTCTGTGATTTAATTATGTATAGGAGCTTCATCAATCGAGGACCTGTAATGCAGGGTTGGAAATGGTGTTAATTATGTATAGAAGCCTCATTAATCGACGATATGCAGGTTCCGATGAACATCCTTTGCCGGAGAATCAAGTCAAGTTTTTTTTTATGTATATAGAGATATGAAACCCCCGGTGAAAATCCTGTCTCCGCTACTATTTCCGTAGTAATTGCTTTCTTGTTTGTTTCCCTGGGTTGGGTATACGATGCTTCTAATTTTCCTGTGAAGCAACCAGATTAAGAGATTTGCTTACATCTTAATATAGTCAGTAAAAATGGTGATTATCAAATATGCTTAAAGAATCAAGTTTTGCTACGTTCTTATCTACTACATATCTGTGTGGAGATTTCTCTGTCATATTATCACTGGTCTTCAAAAGATTACATCTGATCTTAGGGGGTTTTGATGGAAACTATGCTGCATATTATGATATGGACAATGCTTTTGGATATTATGCATAAACAAAGATGCTGACGAACAATTAATATATGTAATGTTCTGGTAGTTAAGACGTTGAGTCATGTCTGTGTTGCATTACCTTGAGTTTGACATCATAATTGGAATTGCTTGAACTGGAAATACTTGTGTTATTATATTAAAAGGAGTACATAACTGATTTTGGTGTATTATGACCAGTGGCGAAGTCAGGAATTTTCGCAAGGGTGTTCAAATTTGAAATAAGTAAAAAATATTTCCGATAAAGGGTGTTCAATATATGTTATGTACCTCTAAAACCTAATATTTTACCTATATACGTAGTGTAATTTTCCGACAGAGGGTGGTCAATTGACCACCCTAACCAAAGTGTGGCTTCGCCCCTGATTATGACCCTGTTGGAGCTAGATGACGCTTGATATGGATAGGTGAAAGGGTTGCTAAATTGCTATGAAAAAAATGGCACACTAACGGGGTTTTTGGCTAGATTTATACATTAGTATCAGCTTATAAGCATATTTTGGCTTATTTAATGATTAACTAAAAACGTGTCTTATAAGTTAAAATCAACGAAATGTCATAAGTTGGTTACCCCTAATTTATTATTATTCATCGTTTTAGCACTTTCGATTTGACAAATGTTTTAAAAAATTTCTCTTATTTCCAAAATAAAACTCTTTGAGTCACTTTCTCTTCCATTTTCCCTATTGTCCCTTTCACACAAAAATACTTCAAAATTTGTTACTATGTAGTATCAGTATTAGTGTAATTGCTTTTTTTAGCACTTAAAAAATAGTTTTGGGCAGTTGATGCCTGTCAGCTACTCTAAACCAACTAAACCAAAAGATTCTACATTGATTACAAAGACAAGTGGGTATTACTTCTTTCTCCCTCTCGTCACTCTGCAAGCAGTTCATAGGCGGAGTTAGGATTTCAAACTTTACAGATTCTGAATTTTATTAGGAAAACTTCAAATGCTAATAACTGAATTTAAATTTAATATGTGTATATATTTAATAAATTTCTGTACACTGATATAATATTCCTTAAACAAAAGTTACTGGATTCTATCTCTGTCCCTTGCAAGCACGAGGCACCAGGGGAGAAAAGCGACAACAACAACAACAACAAGCCCAGCATTTCCCCACAGTATTTTCCTACAAGCCCAGTATTTTCCCAGAGGAGAAAAACAATTGCTGTTTTGGGAAGAAAACAGTGTTCTTCTCGACCTGCATGTCAACTGTCGTTGTCAATAATGCAACAATAAAAATAGTGAGACAAGGTTGGGCCAAAGCAGTGAAAAACCAAGGTGCAAGATGGCTCAACGACAACAGAGGATTCTCATTTTCAGCTAAACTACGACTGCTAGAAAACATGGGAATTCCCTTTTTTCTTAGTACAAAAGAAGTGTTGTGCGCATGAAAATAAAATACTCCCTCCGTTTCATATTAAATGAGGTACTTTCCTTTTTAGTCTGTTCCAAAATAAATGATATATTTCTAAATTTGGAAATAATTCAACTTTAAACTCTTCATTTTACCCTTTTTGCCCTTAATGAGAAGCTTTTATAGCCACACAAATGGCATGTCCCCACAAACCTTTTACCCCTTAAGCTTTTAAGACCACAACTATCAAAAGTCTTTTCTTTTTTCTTAAACTCCGCTCAAACTACCTCAAACAATATGAAACGGAGGGAGTACTATGCAAATATTCCTATCACGGGAGAGCAAAAAATGCTTACTGTTAAATGGAAGTAAGAAGTAAATGGCACTTGCAAATTGGCAAAATGGCACTGCCGTGTGTGATATTTTCTTAGAATACAACTGACTCCATTGCACATAGACAAAGGATGAGGAATTAATTGTCCACAAGGTTACGTGTATCAAAGGCAACTAAAGCACTAGTTGATTAACCAACTTATTTATATATGTTCGGCTATCTTTACATGTACCTCGACTAAATCTACGAGTACCTGCCAGTTGGTTAACCACCTCCTTGTTCTTTCTCTTCCTGATGCTATCCTTATTGTGGGATTGTACTCTTCCACTTCACTTTGTTTTGTGCTGATTTTGGACAACTTAATTCCTCTTTAGCTTTAATTTCATCTAGGAGCTACACAACTCCTAAACTATATTCAAATGAATAATTAAGACCTCTTATTTTGTATAGTAGTTGTTCTGGATCACAAATGTCATAGAATATGTTTTTTACTATCTTGGAAAAAAAATGAGGGTATCTAAGTTTTAAAGGCATGATTATTATTCCCGCCTTCATTATTCTATATAGGAAATTTTACCTCCTATAGCAAAGCTTTGCACCTTATTTATTATAAATAAATATCCTTTTAAAATATTATTTTCTATAGCTACCTTTTAGGTTTTATAGCAAATTATGTATTTACGGTCACTTCCTACCGTTTAGCCATTAAATATGCTGGTTAATATTTTTCTCTCTCCTACTTTCTGTTCTTTCTCTCACAAGACCACCATATAGTATACAACTTCAGAAACCACGATCTCTCTCCACTATCTCTCTCTCAATGTCAGTCTCTTCTCCATGAATACATCTGATGATATGCTATAATTACGTATTTTAGTCGCTTATTACACTCAAATTTACTTCACTTTAATTGAGTTTGAACTTTAATAGCTAGTGTCTTGCACTAATCGTGTGTTTTATGCCTTGTAGGAGTGATTCCGAGCTATGTAGATGTTATGGAATGAATTCAAGTGATTTGGAGCTTTGAAGTCTGAGTAAAAGCTCAAGGAATTAAGCCGGGATCGTGTTCGGGGGTCAACGGATGATAGTTGGAACAAACGAAGAATCGAGTAGGCATATTGCGCACTGTCTAGTAAAATGCACATAACTTTTTGCTCAGAACTTCATTTCGGCTCCACAATATATGGTTGGAAATCTAACTCAAAGGGCTAAAACTTTCATGTTTTACGTTTTTCCAAATTCTAAATGTAACAGGGTGAAAAGCGCGCGTCAATAGCGCGGCCGCGCTCAGGCCGCGTTCGTCAGGCAGAATCAAAGTCGATATGCGCGGTCTGAGCGCGGTCCAAGCGCGGCCCCGCACGTCCTGTTCGGAAAATGTGTCCTTTCTCGCATAGGAGAAGGTGTAATTGTTTGGGACCAACTCTACTTGGTATATATATATATGGAAAAATGGTAGTTTGAGGGGTTGGACATATTTTTAACACAGATTCGACCTAAGGAGGCAGAGACACAATAGGAGCAAGGCGGGGAATTTTCTACGAGTTTTTCCTTCCTCTTCCTATTTTTCATTGTTGGTTATGACTTTTAGTATTGTAGTTTTACATACTATTATGAATAGCTAATTTGTTATCTAGGGTTTTGATGGAACCTTTTGAAGGATAAATTCTTGTTATGCTTTTATATAAAAACACTAGCGGTTAAAGCTCAAACTCAATTAAAGTGAAGTAAATATGAGTGTAATAAGCGACTAAAATACGTAATTATAGCCTATCATCAACAGCCACGATTCTCCACTGATTCATCTCCATTGTCTTGCGAAATTTTCAATTTTTTTTGCTCCAAAAAGTTGTGGTAAGTGTTAAAGTTGTTAGATTTTCACTGGTAAGTTTCTTCTTCTGTTTCTCTTTACTAATTTTTTAGAAATAATCACCATTGTTATGCTTTTACCAGAAAACTCAAAATTTCATCTCCAATGGCTGATTTAACAACTCACAAAAGGGTTACTCGACATCGAATCAAGCCCAATTTGAGAAATCTTCGAAAGAATCAACACTTTCTGATGCGGAAAAGAGAAGAAAACTTATGGATGATGATTTAGGGGTTAAGGGAAAAGATACTTTATTTTCATTGTATTCAATATATCTCGTTGTATTCCATGTATTTTATTGTATTCACTGTCTTTAGTTTTTTCTACTTTTTCAATATATTCACTGTATTTAATTATATTCAATATAATTATATAATCTCAAAGCTTCACTTTGTTTTACTGTTTTGTC